CACAGATATTGAACACTGAGGAAAAAGAGAAATTGATTGAGATCTCCTGTGATTACGAACTGAGAAGGAGTTTCAGAAATCTGTCATTGATCAACTTTTGGCTGAGTTTAAGAAACGAGTACCCCCTTCTGGCAGAAAAAGCTGCTGCAGTTTTGTTACCACTTTCAACAACATACTTATGCGAGAAAGCGTTTTCCTCGTATGCACATCTGAAAACGAAATACAGAAACAGACTTGATGCCGAACCAGACCTGAGACTTTATCTTTCTCCAAAGGTTCCGGACTTCAAAGAGCTATGCAGAGCAAAGCAAGCGCATCCATCACACTGAGGAAATTTAAATTTAAAATCCTGGAAATATTCATTTTTAGAAGGGGGTTCACGAGATTTCACAATTTAGAGAAAGGGGTTCGCGGGCTGTTAAAGTTTGGGAACCACTGCTCTAGGTGGATATCTGGATGCATCATTTCTTGTTATCAGTATAATGATATTCAACCTCTTCTTAGGACATTAGCCCATTCAGTGAGGTGTGTCTCTACCTTAGTAGTTTTTCTCAAGAATGTTTCCATCACTGAGATCTGAAGAGCTGCAACTTGAACCTCTATACACACTTTTTTGAAAGCACACTGTAGTAATCTGTAATTCAGCTTTGTATGTTGTGTCTGACTCTGCACTATTATTTCAGTATTGGACTTGACTCCAAAGCCCCCTCCTTTTCATGAGGATACTGCTTGGTAGTCACCTGAAGTGGAGAACCCATAGGAACACTGCTCGAAGAAGGAAAGGTTACTCACCCTGTGCAATAACTGTAATTCTTCAAGATAGTGTGTGTCCCTATGAGTGCTCTATCTTTGCTTTGGGGTTTCCTTTATGAGACCTTGCAGTCGAGAAGGAACTGAGTGCAGTTCACCTGCACAGCTCCATATGATCTCAGTGCAGGTCATGAGGCCAAGAAGAGGGCATGTGCAAGCTGAACGGGCACTGCTACTGTAAATGACCAATCCAAGATGTAGCCTTCTGAAGAGGAGCACCATACCATGCCATCCTTACTTCTGCTCTACTGTTGGCGTCGGCTCTGCCTTCAGCCGCTGCTCTCTAGCTGCCCAGCTCTGAAGGCAGCGCCGCTGCCAGCAGCAGCACAGAAATAAGGGTAGCAGTACTGCAACCTCCCCTACAATAACCTTGCGACCTCCCACAACTCCTTTATGGGTCTGGACCCCTACAATTACAACACCGTAAAATTTCAGATTTAAATAGCTGAAATCATTAAATTTACGATTTTTTAAATCCTGTGGCCATGAAATTGACCAAAATAGACCGTGAATTTGATAGGACACTACCTACAGGGACACACATCTCAAACTACTGTTAGTGCACAGGGTGAGTAACCTCTCTCTTTGTATATAACTTCTGACATAGAAGAACGTGAAAGTCCTCCTATTTGTTCTTGGGGTGATTATAAACTCTCTCCTGCAGAATTTATAAAATGTATAGGAACAAAAGATTTTCAATTTGTCTGTATTGAAATCTGTCTGGAGAGAGAGTTTATGTTGAAGACTTCCTATGTGGATACTCATCATAATTGGTACTACAGTTAGTATTGTAGCAGCCAAAATTAGCAAAAGTTATTGCTGTTCTTCTTTCTGTACAAATTAAGACTCAATCTGAATTTCAAACTTTCAAGTTCTCAGACATTTGATTCTTACATAAGAAAAAATGATTTGTTTCTTTTTAATTGGAGAAAAAGTGTGTATTCTGGTTGTTGTGTAATGTGGAAATGGGTAAAGACATTTTTTTAACTTCCAAACAAAACACAAAATCGCCTCTAGACTGAGCCTAACCATGGAAAAATTCAGCCCAGGAGAGTAGCTTTTCCAGGAAGTTTTGAATATTTGGAAATAGGGATTATCACGTGAATTCTGTTGTAATTTTAGTTATAACTGAACTTACCCAGGTACCTTTTATAATAAATGTGGATTTTTATAAACTTGTAAAATTGCACTGCCTAATGCACAAACAATACTGTCCTATATCAATGGAAAATGTGTAGCTTCACCCTTGAAATAAATGTTTCCAAAACAGGCCAAGTATTGTATATGTGGATATAGGTTTTTCTGAAAATTTTACCCTAAACCCCATTTTCTAAAGCATCTTACTCATTTAGGCCCTCATCCCCATCAATGGAATTGTGGCTTGTAAGTGCCTACGTTCCTTTTGAAGATGAGATTTAGGCTTCTAAGTCAGGCATTGCAATGCTGAGTGCAGCAACTCCTGAATACCTTTAATCTGGGCCTTAAGCTAAATCCTCTTGACTGCTAGGCACTATTGAAATTATCTATAGTGTATATACCAGGGGTAGGCAACCTTTCAGAAGTGGTGTGCCGAGTTTTCATTTATTCACTTTAATTTAAGGTTTCGCATGCCGGTAATACATGTTAACGTTTTTTAGAAGATCTCTCTCTATGTCTTTATTATATAACTAAACTATTGTTGTATGTAAAGTAAACAAGGTTTTCAAAATGTTTAAGAAGCTTCCTTTAAAATTAAATTAAAATGCTGATCTTACGCCGCCAGCCTGCTCAGCCCGCTTTCAGCCTGGGGTTCTGTTCACCTAGGCCTGCAGTGGGCTGAGCGGGGCGACTCGAGGTCAGGGCAGAGGGCTGGGGTGTGTGTGGAGGTGCAGGGCAGAAGGCTGGGTGTGGGGTGGAGGTGCAGGGCAGAAGGCTGGGTGTTGGGGGGAGGTCAGGGCAGAGGTTGGAGGGTGTGTGGGGGGTGTAGGGCAGAGGTCTGGGGTGCTCGGCTCGTGGGGGTGCTCCCAGCCCCCTGCCCTGAGCGGCTCATGGCAGGGGGCTGGGAGGGATATGCCCTGTTCCACCTCCTTCCCCAAGGCCGTCCTTACCTCTCTCTGCCTCCTCTACGGAGCAGGGAGCACGCTGCCACTCGGCTCTGCTCCGCTCCCCCTCACAAGGGCCATTGCCGACAGGGAGAGGGGGGAGGAGGAGGGGCCGGAATGCACCACGTTCTGGGAAGAAACAGGGGAGGAGGGGAGCTTGGCTGCCGCAGGACCAAGCTTCTGCCTCCTGCCCCTGCAGGGGAGAGC